CCATCCATCCCCCCATCCATCCCTATTTCCTTCCCTCCATCTCTCCATCCCATCCCCTCATCCATCCATCCCTGTTTCCTTCTCTCCATCCATCCATCCCCCCAAAGCTTTCGCAGTTTTGTGGAGCAGAACATGTGCATGAGTTTATAGAATTTGTGAGGGAGGCACAGTAATTCCTGTGGCTGTACAAAGGAAATCCTGTTTTCCTAGAATTCAGTACAGCAATACCACCAGTTTCATCCTTACGGGGTAGGAAGAGAACATTTGGCCCAACTGGGCCTTTTTTAGGAAACATTCCTTCTCTGAGGGAGAGTTAAACACTGGAAGGGGCTGCCTGGGAGTGGTGGGGTGACAATCCCTGGAGGTGCTTAGACGTGTGGATGTGGCATTTCACAGTAGGGTTTAGTGAGCACACTGCCATCAGCCAAAGGTTGGTCTTGATGATCCCGGAGATCTTTTCTCACGAAAGGCCGGGAGCTGGAATTCCATGTGTTGATCGTGGTTTTTCCCTGGCACTGAGGGAGCAGCCTGCCTTGCACCAGGCTCACCTTTGATGTTGGATTCCTCTCTGCGTTCTTCCCCCAGCCATGGAGAACGCTGCCGTGCGCATCCTGGAGCCCATCATGGCCGTGGAGGTGGTGGCTCCCGTGGAATTCCAGGGAGCAGTGATAGCCGGGATCAACCGGCGCCACGGCGTCATCACGGGCCAGGACGGCTCCGAGGGGTACTTCACTCTCTATGCTGAGGTCTGTGCTCTCTGCTGCTTCCCCTCTCCCTTTCCCCATTTGATTCCATTGTCTTCCTCAGTTTATGTGGATACTTGTTGTAGGTTGACTCAATTTCAATGTTTCTTCTTTTATCTCCCTCCTAAAAATGATTGGAAAGGATCACTGGGTGTTTTCTTGCTGGGTGAGGGGCTCAGGACAGCCACACCCTGTGACCCTCCTGCTTCCCAAATTATTTTTGGAGGAATGTCTGGAGATACCTCAGACCTTGCTGGTTGATTCATCACTGAATTTAGGATATTCCAGTTCCTGGTGCACTCGAACTCTCAGATTTTTCTTGCTGAAAACACACTGCAAATACGGATTAATTAAAAGAACAGATACTTTACAACATCAGACCGTTAAATCAGAGCTGTTTACAGACAGCACTGACACTTCGTGTCATAGTTGGGATTAATTAGCCCAATATTGTGATAGCCCAAAAGTGATGGAAAAAACCTCTTGTTGAGCAAATATGTTTGGATTTTAGGTGCCACTGAACGATATGTTTGGATATGCCACAGAGCTGAGGTCTTGCACAGAGGTGAGTCCTCCTGGTCCTTTTTGCTAAAACGTGTTTGATTCTGTAAATTTGGGCTCAGTGGGTCATCCTGTCCATGGCAGCTGCAGCAGGGAATGAGATCAGAGCTGGGGTGTTGCTGGCCAAACAATTCTCCTGTGCCTGAGGAGTTTTCTTTGGGTGGAATTGCAGAGGGTCCCTGGCTGTCACTTCACAGACAGGAGCTGGGTGCCCAGCAGGGTTGCACATGGCCCATCCTCACTTTCTTTTCCCAACTCTTCAGGGAAAAGGGGAATACACCATGGAATACTCCAAATACCACCCCTGTTCAGCCAGCACTCAGGAGGAAATCATCAACAAATACCTGGAAGCAACGGGGAGACTTCCTGCCAAAAAGGGCAAAGCCAAGAGCTGATGGGATTCCTCTGGAGCCCACTGAACAGTTTGTCCCAGTCTTCTCCAACAGCTCACTTTTCCAAGCCATGGAAGCAGCCCAGGCTGGCTGGGTAAGGTGGGCTCCAGTGGGATTTGGACTTGGAATTTTAACATAGAACCTTTCCTCTGGGGTGGTGTCAGCAGCACCAGGGGATCACCACGGGATTGCTCTGTGTAAATGCTCTTGTAACAAATAGATGTTAAAACACGGCTGATGATTTGTCTTAATCAAGATCTATTAAAATAATTTTATTTTTTACTTGATACATCTTTATTTGGAAATGTTAAACTGAGGTAAGAGCTGCTGGACCAGGTACAGGGTGTGAGACATCACTTGGCACATGGTGCTCCAGCTTCCCTCCAGGGAGCAGATGGAATTTTCCCCTCCAGATCCTTTGGAAATGGCACAGGATCCTCGAAAGTCTCAAGCTACTGGGCAGAGCCACCAGTCAGTGCTTGTCACCAAATCCACTTCCACTGGTGCACGAGGATGGAGCCGAGTTGCCAAGGGAGGAGCTGCCTCTTCCTAAAGCTGGGAACACGATGGAATTGCTTGTGTGGCTTGGAGATGTGGATTTATTTGGTTGGGGTATGGATTCATGTATGGGCTTGGTTTTTGGCTCTTGGTTAGAAATCCAAACCAAAGATCCCTTTTCCCAGAATCTCCCAATCCAGAGGCTGAGCTGCAGCTGATGTTCTGCTCAGGAATCACTTGACTTCGTTGACTCAAAGGGTTTAGGTGAGAAGATATTCCCATAATTCTGTATTTGTAATTATTCCCAGAATGTCCACGTTGGGTTTTCTTTCCTCCTTCCTGCCCTGCTCCGCTGAAAAGTGTTTTTGCAGATTCCAGTAAACAGGGAGTGAAGTTCCAGTTCAAACCCAGCGACATTCCTGGCACAGCACTGGGGCTGCTGCTTCCCAGACAGAAACAAGTGGAGCAGCCAGGCTGCTTCTCCTCTGGAAGGACTGGGAAATGATTTATGGAAACCTTGGGAAAGGATTTGCCAGGGCCTGGAGCTGCTGAGGGATCCCAGGCGAGATGTGGGGTGTCCGTGTGGGGCTGCCTCGGGACAAATCCCTGACTCCTGTACATCCATGGCTTTGTTTTTGGGAATGCTCAGCTGGAATTCATTCCCAGAAAAGCCCTGCAGCTTCTCAGACATTTGGAAGTTTTCTAAAACAAGCAAATGTAGCACTTTCCCCAAAATTTGGAGAGGTCTGATAAAAGCAGTGTGAGCACAGGACAAGAAACAGGGTGGGTATGATTTTATTTGTGTTTCTGGGGCTTATATTTGTGTTTCTGAGGTTTATGTTTGTGCTTCTGAGCTTTATATTTGTATTTCTGAGGTTTATATTTGTGTTTCTGAGGTTTATTTCTATCTATTTCTGTTTATGGGGTTTATATTATGTTTAGACCAGTTGTGATGTGAATTCCTGGCTGATGAGTTCTGCCAGATGTGCTGGTTCTTCACAAATCTAGGAGAGAAACAAAC